GCAGAGACGCTGAATTTGAATAGGCAAGGTTGAGCGTGGGCAGGGGATCATTACCCTAAAATTTCAGCCTGCTAGACTCCGTGCTTCCCGAGATATTAATTCACCTGTAAAAAACTTTCACGGGGCCGTACATGCTACCCGCGGGCACGGGAAAGCTGAATTTAAATTTGCGGGGTCACACATGGGTAGGGAACGTTCCTCTAAATTTTCAGCTTCATAGCTTACGTGGTTCCCGAGTTGAAAGTTGCAGACACACACACACACACAAACACACACAGACAACTCCGTGACAATATTCGCTTTGTACTGTTGTTACACAGCACAAAACGCATAAAAAAGAATTGGTAACACAGTAGAGCTGGGTGAGGACTCTCGAATTTTCAGCAACCCATGAAAAGCCTTTCTACAGCATACTATTTTTAAAAAATTTTTATATTTTCTAGAAACACTACCAAAAAATAAAGGACCACTTACTCGTTCAAGCATTGATATAATTGGCTGAGTTGTACCAAATACAGCTTTTGTGCTTAGAGATGTAATCAACTGCCACAAATTCGGGATCAACCGTCGAAATGACGAAAATAGACTCATCAGTGCAGTATGATCGAGGAGCGAATGAAGGCGTATAAAGTAGGCTAGCGCACACACCGACGCAAGACCGTCGCGATGGGTCAGTAAAACACTTGTGAAGACTTCGTCCGACAAGAGCTCGCGCAATTCACTGATCACACTTTTTAAGTAAAACGGTCGCGTCTGCAAAAAGCCACTGTCAAAGCAAAAACAGTTCCGCATTCACACTTTACAAGAAGCAGAAGTAACTCGACTGATATTACAGGCTAAAAACAAAAGTAAAACCGGAAAGCTCACAATGACCCCCTTTTTTTGGTGGTTGCTTAGAAGCTGATTGTATCTCCCCGACATGTTCAGAACCAGCTTATCTCCGAAACCAATGAATAAATCATAAATGAAATGGGGTTTTGAACCATCTACCTTCAACATAGCAGCATTGCTGCTTGCCAATGATCTATGCTCGTCAGCCAACTAATATGGATTTCAAAAAAGAAAAAATTCGAGTAGCCACCCATAATTATTTCCGACAGTGGCGGCAAGCTATGAAAAAAGACTGAGTGCTGCCTAAGCTGTATTTGTCGATGACACCGTGCACCAAAAAAGGCAATGCATTTTACAAGATCTTCGTCTACTTTCTGCACATCCCTTTCGATATTCTTGATCAGCTTTTGTTACATCGTCGCATTTCTTCTTATCACTAACACTGCTGACAACTTCACCATTCTTTTCTATTTTGCATGTTCCCATCAATTACTGTTTGTGATTTTAGTTATTATGCGTTTTTACTGTGAACACACACACACACAGCGCTATAGCGTTACTACAGCCAGCAAAAACGCATAGTCGAGAGGCCGTGTGTGTGTGTGTGTGTGTTCGGAAGCGAGTGCATTTTGTCACTCTCATTCAGTTCCCCATCTACAGCCACTCACCTAACCGTTCAAGCAGATCTCTCCCTCATAATGGTCGTTTTCTTTTTGTCCTCTTCTCATTGCGCAAATACTGTTCTGTAACTCACTTCGCCCATTTAATGCCTCTCGTTCTTTTCAAATGAACAGTGCAACTCTCCTTCGTGGCTTACATTATTTTCTTATTTCTTACATCAACCAGAATCACAGCACTGGAAATGTAGAGCACGCTACTGACATGACATACGCCAACGTTAACCTTCTAGCAAAAATGGGTATTCTACGTCCACACATTTGAAAGCACAGCAAAACTGAAAAGTGCAGCTTTCACAGTTGTTGTTGTTACAATGGAATTGGAAAAAACATCGCGTAAATTGGCAATGGCCTAACTCCAAGCCCAACCATCTTGTACTGTTTGTCCCAAGTAAACACAGCTGCCCGCAAGTTCGACAAATTAATTGCCCGGTCTCACGCCAAACTGGACGAAATATAAGTTCCTCATCCGTTTGGCTCACTTTTTGTAGATTTGAGGGCAAATTTTTGTCGCATGGGTGAGAAATCCACGTGACGGATTCTGCAGCGATGTGGATTTCCTGCGATGAGTGCAAAGTCGTACGCGAAAATAAGCGTTTGGAGTATCTTACCGAAACTTTCAATTTTCCGTTCCCAAGTGTGGTGCTAAATACTTCAACGAGCAAGCACTGCCGTGATTTACGCCTGCACTGATTCATATCTTTATAAGCTTGTAAAAAAAGATGAACTTTTTTTCTGGTCAGGTGGCAGCTTTTTCGATGATTCACAAAAAGCTGGTTTGATTTGTTGATTTGAGACAGCCCGTAGTAAGGCATTTTGTTCAACCGTATCGAAAATTTTCTTAAAGTCGGCAAAAGGCAAACACAAAGGAATCTCCCACTCTCTGCACCTTGCCGCGAACTGCGATAATTTGAAAATTGATAATTCTTTGAATAACTGAAAGCCGAATCTACATAATACATTTACCAGAATGTCAGGTTCAGCGGAAGACGTAGATGCCTGAATTACGCCGCCGCACTCATCATCAGTATCCGAGTCCTCGTTCCGTTCCACTTTGTGGGGAAGCGGCGGAGATATTTTCTGTGTCAGTGTGGCAAAAACGGTTGCCAACTTCACTTTATCGTCATCAATCATTTTCTCTGTAAACATCATGAGATTAAAAAATAAAATCAGCAAATATGAAAAGTTATCAGAAAGAATAAGTGGCCAACACACCGATCACCGGTGTGAAGATGCGTTTTTTGTATAGTTTCCCGCAGATTTTCTTCGCTAACAGCACTGTTTTTCTGGCAGATCTTCTAGCTAACAGAACTGAGACTGGCCAGACGAACTGTTTGAAAACATTCCCCTAAATTTTCATCTTCCTAGCTTATCTAGTTCCGGAGTTAGTAACTTAACCACAAAAAACTTTCACGAGCCATACGTGAGAACCACGCATACCTGTGGGACCGTTTTGAACTCATTAAGATTTACGTGGACGAGGAACAACCCCTTAAAATTCCAGTCTTCTAGCTTTTCAGGTTCCCGAATCAGCAACTTACCCGCGAAAAACTTTGACGGGCTCGTACATGGGAACCACGTGGGTAGGAGCGCCAACTTTGGAGATGTGGGCCCTACGTACATATAGGTTAAGTTCCCAAAGTTTCAGCCCTATAGCTTTTTTGGGTCTCGAGACGAAAACCGGCACAAAAGAACACATAGATACATACACACAGAGAACCCTTCAATAATATGAGTTTTTGCATTGCATAGATGCAAAAAACACATACAAGTATGAAATTAACTATTCCACCAGCGTTCTTATGCAGCAGAGATGACCGGCAGGCTGAAATGTAGCAGGCGCTGTAAAAAGCCGTTATCTGAACAACCGTAAAATCCGATTCAGATATGAACCAAGCAATCCTACACGGTTCAATTTACTGGTCAAACAGACTCCCTTACAGAGTTGACCCTCTGC